AGCCAATGAGGAGGATTATCCCCGCTGATGTTCCAAAGAACAACATTAACCAGCAGGTTCTGATCCTCCAGCAATATGTGCGCAAGACTGCCTTTTTTTTTTTTTTTTAGAAGTGGCCAGCGATTTGTCGGGCTTGCAACGCGCACTCGTGTGACACGAACCACCAGATGCAGCTGGGCTTTGCGCTCCTCTTTTGTTCCACACAGGGAGCCACGTCTGCCAAATGGACTTTGCCCAAAAGGCTTCAATTTCATTGCAGTCCAACGTCAACGCGGTGTAATAATCAAGGAACCACGAGGGCAGGAAAAAGCAGATTTTAAAAGTCTCGGGGAAAAGAAAATCAACCAAATCTTCAACAAAACTTGAACTTTTTGGTCATTATTTTCAATCAGTAGAACATAAGTTCAGTTAGCCTATAGAAAAGCTTTTTTTTTAAAGGAAAGTACTGGAACTGACGCAAAAACTATGGTGAAAATAGGTTTAAGACGCCAAGAGCGCTCCACTTACCACGATATTCAGTCCTTAAACCACTTTGGTCGCTTTATTCCTTGCTCCCTCATATCGCCACCACGCAAAAAAACGACACCAACAACAGATCAATTCTTCCACAGGCCAAGCTTTTTGGGGTTCCGCAATTTGGCACGGAGACGGAATAGGCTGCGCGCTATCCGCCAGACGCGCAGACAAACACGCGTGCGAGTGATGAGAGAGAGAGAGAGCAGCCCAGCTCCACGGAACGATTAAAGGGGAGGTGCTTCGTTCCCAGTGGAATATCCTCCTTTTTGTTTTTTTACCCCTTTTTTGCAACCACACAGCCGTTCATTCATTGAAATGTCAATACGAGCGCAAAAAGAAACGCGTCCTCTCTCTTCCAAAAGCACAAGTGGAGTGAACTAGTGCACAGGAGCGTGCTCTCACGCACGAACATGCGCAAAAATGCGTGCATTATTTATTTGCATGACATCACTGGAGGCTGTGTGATATTGTGACCTGACTCAGTGGTATGTATTCTCGTTTGTTTGGCTTCTAGAAGAAAACTCTAAAATGAGTGGAGGCAGGACCCTGAGGGCTGAATCCCTGCTCCCCTCACATCTCCAGGGGGAATAAGGAAATCCAACCATTCTTTGAGTAACATGAACACTGCCTTAGTGACAGAAGTGCAGTCAGAAGAACTATTCTAATTACCAAGAGAATATGAGCTAATCTATTATGTATGTCCGCTCAGATAAAAAGTGAGAGAGCACTTTTTCCAATTCTAAAGCCTTGTGTCTCGACCTTTTTCTTTCTCTCTGAGATAAGCGTGCCATCTTCTCATGGATGTCATTTTATCCATGCTCCAGGCCGTTAAATTGGATTATGCCACGCCGGGCAGGGTCCATCTAAGTCTGTTAAAAGACCGTAAATGCCCCCTTCTTTCTTTTACGACATTTGTGAGCTCACTTTCTCTCTCCACTGGTGGCTGAAAGGATGAGGTCATGTCACGAGTGTAAGGATCTACTCCCACCACATTCTGCCCAGCCATCAACAGGATTCCATCCAGATTTGGACATCTTCCAGTTGCCGTCACCAGTTTTCACCAAAAATTGGCTCCAGATTTAAAGGAAAAGATTAAGAAGGTAATCCAGAGGTGTTTCTGTCTCTGAATTGAAATACAGAGACAGTCAATTTAAAGGCACAATCAACCGACAAAGGCATGTCAGCTCTTTTTATTTGGAGAAGAAATTCTCCAGGGAAAAGGGGTCGCCGTCTCTGCTTTCCACCTCCCCCGCCTCATTCTTCCCCCAAAAACAGTTTCAGAGCTCTAACTTGGTTATTATGTCTGTGTGGGAACACGGATCAATATGTTGCGCTGAACTCCCACTAAGAATCAAATCAATTTAATCATCAAGCTGACACAGAGCTTACCGGACAACACATGGGGTATGATATCATAACCATGTTTTTATAGCACTTGATCCATCCTTTTGAAAAAAAATCACAATCACAACATGACAAAAAAATCTACGTATCATTTTCCCTTTTTGCTTTCACTTTGAATTGGTTTTATCTAATAACTCAACGTGGTGGCAGTCTTTTCTCCCCTCAACCGTCAGTCAAGCATTGTATTTTATTTTATCTGCACTATCTGCTCAGTCTAGCACCTCCTCCATCTCCCCCGCAGGTGGGAACCATCCAGCTTGCATTTAATTTATGTTTCCATCCCAGCCAGAATGAAAACTCTATGGATGAGGAGAGTGCACCTACAGCACTGGAAGGAAAATCCAAGCTGATTTATGGTAAAGCTGTGTGGAAAATACATGGAATTTCTCTGTAAGAGACAAAGACAGGGACCTGATAAATATGCCTTGTTATTTTTATTCAAGAAAAACTGTTGCATAAGATTGAAATAATTGATGTGAAAAAAAGATGTAAATATATTTTTCTGAGAATTAATTAGACTGCTTATTATAATAGACTAATTAAGGATATGACATTTCTTCAGGTTTCACAAAGATGTTGCTATTTTGGTAACATTTCGGAAAAGTTGTCTTTTTTAAATCAGCTCTTGCTGTAGAAATTAACGTATACACATAACAAAGGTTAACTATCAAAGCCACAAGTTTAACCCGAATGGGATATTGTCATTTAAGAGAAAGGTTTAATCAGGGAAAAGCCTGTGGGAATCTTTTGATTCAGTAGCTTATCCAGTGAATGCCTTGCACCTACTGCCCCCATTTGGTGGCTTCCTTGTATTGCACATCTTTTGAAATAAGAAGGGGGGGGGCAACAGCTTTTAAATATTCCCTGTTTCTCAGTTCTTCACAGCTGGGTTCCTTTTCATTAAAACTCTGAACAATGCTCTTTTCTGTCAAATACTCTTCTCATTTTTTTATTTGTTCAATGTGCACAACAGCACAATTTCCTGAATAAAGGCTTGGACATTACTCTTTCGAGTCAGTTTAATGATTCAAATTGTCATCACCACTAATCATGAGGAACAATACACTTGCCCAGGTAGGAAAATCCAGACTATATCAAACCAAACACAGGAGCCAGACAACTTTAAAAAACTACTACAGCATTTTGGGCCTTTAGGCAACATTTTCCAAATGTTGGGCTAACTTACAAGCTCTAGAACAAACATCAAAACCTTACTGAGGTCGAGCCAGATCAGATTTGTCAAAAGACACGGATTGTTAGGGAATGAGGAGTGGAATTCCACTTTCCATTCCTGTGAGTGTTCAGTGGAGAAAATGTATGACCTCATACCACAAAATCCAACGTTTCTGTCTCAGAGGACATCACATGCAAGCAGGAAGTGACCTGAAGAGCCTGAAAATGAATCACAAGGAAATCAGATGAGCTCATTATGACAATCATTGGCTAAAAAAAGATGACAGGACATTCTACAGGAGGATCAGAACCAGTTCCATAACATTAGGACATTAACTATTATGTTTTTTTTTGCACTTCACATGAAAAAGTCACCAGTTTCCCTGTTTACTGAATGTGGCATTACATTAATGAATAAAAATTCAAAACATTAGCTTAATGTAAAAGTAAATTTAGTTTACCCTTACATACTACTGTGTTTTTTATTTTATTTTATTTTATTTTATTTTATTTTATTTTATTTTGATTTTTTGGATATGTTTTTGTGCAGCACTTTGGAAAACCCTGTGTTTGTTTAAATTGTGCTATATAAATAAAGGTGGATTGCATTGGATATGCTTATATTCTATCGCTGTACAATTTTGAATTTTTCAAGTATAAAAAATATCTAAATCAAAATAATGTATATATTTATGAAATATATTAATGAAATGAAGACGACTGTGAAAGACAAGAATTCACATAGAAAAATATAAGATAATATATATAAACATTAACAATAAACATTTTTCCTACCTTGATTTGCTCATTGCTGGTTCAGAATAGTTCTAGATTCATCAGACCACAAGACCTATTTCCCCCGAGAGTCTAATAGTTGTAAAAAAAATAATTTCTTCATCTTCAATTATTCTCACCAACGTACAATTTTCTGAGAGCTACACAAACATTTAGCTTTCATCAGTCTGCATGTTGAACTACTCTAATTAAAAAAAAAGTTTAAACATTGCTCTGAGTGAATTTCTCGTGTTTCATTTATCAAATGTTTAACTAAATATCAAACCAAAATGTTTCTGATTGTTAAACTTGACAGTTTAAGATTATTGATTACCACTTTCCTCCCAGGTTTGAATAATGCATCAGACAGTTCTTAATGTTTACGCAATTTCACATCTTATCTGTTTACACGGCAAAATATATAAGTATAGGTTTTATCTTTATTCTTTTAAATCTTAAGTGTAAGACTTTTTTACATTTAAAAAAATGGGCTATGTGACTTTTGTGAATGGACTTTCAAGTTGAATACCTAAGATGGTCTAAGAGATTATTATATTCTCATATCTTTAATTCCATCACCATATTTTTGGTTATTTTACTTTGTTTGTACTTTATCTAACATGGTTTGGACACAGTTGTTGGGTGTCACCAATTTTGGGGATAAATAAACAACTGTATGTATTGACTGTGAGTTTGAGTTTGATAAAAAAAAATTAATGACAAAATAACTCATTATATCTATATATTTGGTGGAGATGTCTACTACTGTACACATAGATATCTCAAATATGTTCTCAAACAAATGCTTCTTCATGTGAGAGGGCAAACAGGTTGAAAACTATTGTGTTGTCTTTTTCAAATCCATTTCATGTTCACAATAGCTTTGTCTAATATTATGTAATCAGTCAGTTAAAAGAGGAGATTGGGCAATCTCCCTCAGAATCACAAGGGATTATAGTATAGAATTGGAGGCGCGGGGGGAATATAGAAGACAATTTATACATTGAAAAAATTAAAATAGATCAAAATTATAATTAAAACATCTACTTCCGTTTTGGGTTAGATCTATTGTTTTCCTTGGATTCCTCAATTTCATTATTGTTCAAATGTTTGTTACAACTACAGGACATATTCAAACTGTTTATTTATTTATTTTTTAAGATATCAACGTGTGATGGGACAATTATAATGTAGCCGTTCCGTAATGTGACGCGAAAACATGGCGCTTCCGGGTTTAGTTCCTCCACTAGTTCTCCAAAATCTGGCCGTTTGGAGAACTGACTGAAACATCTAAACTCAGGAACTGTTCCTTTACATCCTGGGTCGAAAGAAAAGGAGACTCCTAAACCGGAAAACGCCGAAAAAATACCAATAAACTTGAGCTTTTGACGCAGAAGACCCCTCGTCGACTTCTGCGCCAATGAGACGTCGATCCGGCGTTTTACATATTGCTGATTGGTCGATTCTTGGACGGGGGGTGGGCGCATTTCTCCTCTCCACCAGACAGCAGTGACTCCGGTATTTAGCTCTGGGTCAGATGAAACCCCACCTGGACCCGGAGAGCCTTCCACAGGTATGGCCCACATTTTTATTTTAATACAGAAAACGATGCAATTCATTTATCCAAGTTTGAGATTATTATTATTATTATTATTTGTATTTTTTTGGCGAATTCTCCAATTCTTATAACTTATTGGTTGGGTCGTTTACTTTTACTGATAACAGAGCCAACGGTAAAAAAAAAAAAAAAAAGATAATGACGCATTTTGCAGAGTGTGACGTCCCCTGAGATGACTTTTTATATTTGTTTAACTGCAGGGGCCACCGGTGAGACGACACCATGAAAAGTCTGAAAGCAAAGTTTAAAAAAAACGAGGTAGGAGACACAATTCTCCAATGCAGCTACTGTCTATTAAATTAAGGTTTTTTTTTTTTTTTTTTACTTTTAACCTAACAGCGGAAGCGTTTTACTTACATAAAGTAGTCATTCTTGCAGTCTCCCAGCGTCCACATGCTGCCTCCAAACTGCTGCTATGGCCGGCCAGATCAGGTGGCCTTCAATTATTCACGTGCACACGCACGACCCAAAGACTTCCCACTTTCCAGCTGTCTTTTTTCCTTTTTTGCCGGTGAGTTTAGTGGTGATTTGACCATAAACACCAGACGATACAGAGATGAAGTGTCCAGCTGCACCATGCAGCCTTTTGTTCTGGATCTGGACACCTATGTAAGCTGATATGAGACAATTACTAAAGTAATAAGTAGTACTTTAAGTCTATCTAGCCCTTAATGGTTTAAGTAGTGTGTAATCTGGACATTTAAACTAGTTTTTGCATCCTTATATAACACGATACATACAGTCAGCCTATCAAATTCAGTGATTATAAAGTCACTAGTTTAGATTGGTTTGTATGCAGTAGGTTTGTCCAAAAATTGATAGACAAACAGACAGGGGGGAACACATAGACCCCGTCTTTTTTTTCTGGGTATGTCCCCGTCTGCAATCCGAATAAGCAGAGCAGAGTGGAGCCAGTCCTTTCTTTTTTTAACCTGCACTTTTTGCTGAGTCCTCATCCCACAGGCCGCGCTGTGCAGCTGCAGACAGACGGATCCGTCGGGCTGTTTAGCAAGCGTTACACCGGGGGAGGCGGACAAAAACTAATTGGGAGAGGGAAGATGAAAAAAGGCAGCTGGGAAAAGGATCGTCTTGGAGAAATGAGGACGGAGAGGACAGGAGGGAGGAGGGCTGCAGTGGCCAGGCTCCACTGCTAACAGGGACAGAGCTGCTGTTTTAAAAAACCCTGACACGGACCGCTACAACTGGAAATATTGGGACAAAAATCAACAATATCAGTCCATTTATAACACCTCTCTGTGTTGGCCCGGGATCAGACTAGTTTCACCGGAGGTAGGATTTGTGGACGGCATAAATCTTCCGGTTTGGGGACTGAGTTTATGGTGGCGGTGGCTATAGCGGGATAGTAGACATAGTTGTCGGTTTTGTACACTTTAGCCGTATTTAGTTGTGTGTCGCTCCGCTGCTATGGATCCTCAGCAGCCTGCATTTTGCCTGATGAAGCGATTCTGTCCCTGCCTCATGCTGCTGCCTCTGCCAGTAGGTCTCCTGTCTATCTATCTATCTATCTATCTATCTATCTATCTATCTATCTATCTAGATTAATTACAGTCTATCTTAAATAGTAACTGATGGATTGCTATGAATACTAAATTTGTTACATTTCTGTTTATCATTATTATTTAATATGTAGATCACACATCCCATTTTTTATGTCAAGAAAAAGTAACAAAATCCAGATTTGGGCAGATTCATTACAGTCTATCTTAAATATTAACTGATGGATTGCTATGAAAACTAAATTTGTTACATTTCTGTTTATCATTATTATTTAATATGTATATCACAAATCCCATTTTTTATGTCAAGTAACAAAAAAATGTCAAAGTAACAAAATCAAGATTTGATATCTATCTATCTATCTATCTATCTATCTATCTATCTATCTATCTAT